GGTCTGGCGCTTAGACCCCATGAAAATCATCAACTTCCGTTGTTCTCAGACCCCTCAGACTGCACAGCCAGGGCGGCTGACCTGCCCAGATGCCTCCACCACTCACTCATTGTGCGAGTACAGGCAATGGGATACTTAGTTTCCTCCTGGGCCACAGGCTGAAACTATGCTGGGGGCATCCCTTTGACTGAGCACTCACTGCTCCCCCCCCCCACACACACACACATACCCCGCTTCTCCCCTCCCCCGTCCTGCACCCACTTAGGGCACCGCAGCTACAGAGAACCGGCAGGCCCGAAGAGGGTGGTTCCTGTTTTGATTTTGCTCCCGACCAGGTGGGGTCCCAGGCAGGAGAAGCTCGGGCACCTCAGCACAGGCACACTGCCCCCTGGTGCTGCTGTGGGGAACGAGCACGCGGGAGAAGAGGGCTCCAGCCAACCAGGGCACGGCAGCGCACCAACCCCAAAGGGGGAGGCGGCAGCAGAGCCTCCACCCCCACCCTCAGCACCCCACGCTCCGCTGGGGAGGAGGACCAGCGGGGCTCTGCAGAGAGGGCCCTTGCTCCCCGAGCCAGTGTCCGCCCGCCCTCGCTGCCTTGTTGCCAGGCGGGGCCTGGGGGGGCTGGCAGAGTCTGTGCTCTGGTCTCCTTTCGAGCGTCCCAGAGAGGGCGGTCCCCGAGGACCGCCGACTGGAACCGCAGGGCAGCGGCTTGGTCTCAGCACAGTCGGAAATGGTTCCAGTCACTGGACACACAGTGGGTGCCTCTGCTCAAGGAATACTGACTCCGCGTGCAGACCCTGTACTACCCCCCAAGCAGACAGCTCCTTCAGTGTGTGTGTGTTGGGGGAGGGGGTGTCAGGGATCTTCAGCACCTCCTCCCAGAGGTGACTGTTTTCCAGGGATGTGGAGATGAGGGACAGAGCGTATGTAGACGTGGAGGTCTCAGAGAAGAACCCCGAAACACGACTGAGCAGCCCTGCATTCCTGGAGGGGGAGGAAGTGTAGCCGGCCCTCTTGGCCCTCTTGGAGGGAAGGTGCAGGGCGGCAGAGGCTGGTCCTGGGGTGGGGCCGTGGGGCTGCGCACCAGGAGGCTGCCTGTGACCTTGGCAGGGGCTTGTGGGAAGGCAGTCTCTTGCGTACCCCTGCATCAACCACCTCTAAAACCCCAAGATCATCCTGACGTCAAACGCCTGTTTAGCGCAGTGCGAGGCGAGCACAGAGAAGCCATGAGACTTGGCCCGGTGCAGGCGGGAAGCCCGGGATGCCGGAGCAGCTGGGCTTCCAGGCAGGGGAGGTAGAAATTCCTCAAGTGAATGCTTTCGAAGGCCCCTAGGGCCACTCCCAGGTCTTGTCTGAAGCTATTTACTTCCAGGGGGAAACCCTATTGATCTTCATTCAACTCCTGTCTGCTCCTACACGGCAGGGATGTTTCAGCGCATCACCAGCCACTGCGAGAAATTCCTCATTGTTTTACAGGCAGCGGCTCCCAAACTCTGGAGACAAACGCACGTTCAGGACCATTTGCACGAAGAACTGGGATGTGGGCTGGGAGCTCTGGGGGGTGGGGATGGCACCCTATGGAGAAAGATTGAAGCTGCTTGCTGGGCCCCCCAACACAGGCTCAGGGCCCTGCAGCTGGGCTCAGCTCAGTCTGAAATGATGAGAGTCCAGAACGGAGCCCTGCTCTCTGCCCCCAGCCCCTCTCTTACAAAGGCAACCACCTGCTTGCTCTCTCCACAGCCATGGCTCTGCACCTCTCCTCTAGCTGGCTGCAGAGCCCCGCCATCCAGTTGCCTCCTCCTCCCTCCCTCCCCCTGCACTGCCACCTCCACCATCACCACCACCACCACCACCACCACCACCACCACCACCACCACCACTCTTTGCTTTCCTTTTCAAATGCTAGGCTGGTCCCCATCCATGGAGATATAGTAACATGAGAGGAGAATCACCCGAGACACAATGGTGCCACCATCCCCACCAGCCTGCCCTCCAGGGAACTTGGAAACCTCAGACAATCCCAGACCATCTTGGGGACCAGCCACCAGCTTACAGATGGGAAAACTGACACTTGACATTGACTGGACCTAGGTGGGCCTGTAAATTGGTGAAGACAAAGCAGAAAAACCCAAACCCTGGGACTCTCAGCCCAGCGCTGGTCCCTCTGCAGCTCCTGGGTCAAAGAAGCAGGAAATCCACCAGAAGGTCCTTCAGCCCCACTTGGCTGAGAGCACCCCCGCATTAAACCGCTTTCCGTGGGTTAAGATCAAGTTTAATTTGAACAATAATAACGATGATGATAATAATAATAAAATGCAGAACAATATGCCTTGAAAGCCTTCAATGAGCAGCACTTGATAATCACACACAGAATACATCTTCCACATATTCATATAAAATAATCAATGATCATTTTTTTCCTGCAGACTACAATCCAATTACTCCCTCTCCCTCGCTCTCTCCCTCACTCTCCTTTGTTACTTGCAAACCATCCAAGCAATCAATGCCTTGACCTCTCCCTCTGATAGACACAATTACAAAAAGACAGAGCAATGCAATTCATCTATTCAAGCCAGATTGTTTGAACACTTTGTCACACTGCTGAGCTATCCATCTCCTTGTCTAAGAGGAAATTTCAGCCCCCATAAGAGGCACAAAGAGAGGGGGCGGGAACACTGCTCCCCAACCCTGAGAGCCCCTGGCACACCTGCAGAAAAACCTTCCACCAGGCGGGTGTGGGCACCGCCCCATCACTGAGGAAGATTCCACTCCCCACTCCCCGCACAGTCCCTAGAACACAATTCCTGGCCTCCATGCTGGCGACCCCCACCTGAGCCCCGAGAGCCCAGGACAGGGCTAAAGGGGAAGAAAGAGGGCGTAGACCCAGTAAGGGGTGTACTTGGTATCAGCCAGAGTATCTATCTCTCTGTATGCCAGGTCCACTGTAACCACCCCTCCCTGCCCTCGGCTGCTCCAGCTGAGACTCAAGCACGGCTGAAAAAGACACAGGCTGAGCCCTGGGAAGCTCCGAGGAAGCGCTGAGAAGCCAGAGCCCTCCGGTCCCTCCTCCATCCTGCTGGCACAGCTCCGGCAGTCGGTCACGTTTGGCATCAGCACAGCACCCCCGTTCTTGGGCTGGGAACCAAACAGGGCAGGCTCTCAGATATAAATGACCTGGGCCGACACGCTAATTAATCCCGGGGTTTAATACGAAGAAGATGAAAAGAGAGGAGGGCTTTGCCTTCCTTAATTGTATCACTACATGCTGTACCCAAGAAAGGGCGGGCAGACAAGCTCAGGGCATCCCCTCTGGGCATTTGAGGGACCCCCCCCCCATTCAAGTCAATTTCACAATTAGGGGTGACAACCAGGACATGTCCCGGCTCTCCCCAGTTCATCTTTTTTTTTTTTTTTCTGGCTGCTTTGACCTGTTCCTCCATCCAGGGCCCCAGACACCTCCATCTCTGGGCTGAGCCACACAGCCCCTCCCCATGGTGCAGGGGCCAGGGAAGAGGAACTGCAATGCGTGGGCACATGGCACCACTGGGGTCCCCTCTCTTCCCTCCGAAGGGCACCCAACTATACAGGCCCCCGCAGAAAGAGGGAAGGATGGAGAAAAGAAAGTGCTGATCCACGTCTCCTGGAATGAACGGTCACCCAATTTAGCACTGAGGCCGGCAAAAACCCAGAGAACAGGTTTCAGTGCTTGGCTGGGAGCAGTTCGGGTTGCAACGGGTTAAGCCTGGGGCGGGCTCCCAGTCCACTGCCTCCCAAGGCAAAGCCCATGGCCCAGCTCTCTCCCCCGCAGACGTGGAGTTTAAGGGGAGACAGACCCTTTAGGACTTCCCACCGTCTCCTCAAAAAAAACTCAAGTGCCATCACCCAGCGGGCGACACGGGTTCCCCGCACCCAGCTCTGGCAGGTCAGGGTGCGCGCGGGAGCCGGGCTGCAGGGGAGCAGAACGGTTCTGCTGAGCTCTGCCTCGCCGGTGCCACACGCAAGCGAGGGCTTCTGGAGAACCCAGGCGGCCCTGGTGGCGGGCGCGGGGCCTGCGTGGCGGAGGCTCCCGCGTGGCCAGGCCGGGCCCAGCGCTGGCCACGACCACGGATACCTGGGACACGTACGCCGCCCCCGTACGCCCCCGCGCAGCCCAGAGCGCGGCCACCAGGGTTCCCAGGGCGCCCACAACAAAGTTAAAGCCCCAAGTAAGAGTCTCTAGCAAGAAGAAACGCTGAGCCGCCAAGCCCCTGAGAGCCGCGCGCAGCCCCGCAGCCGCCGCCAGCTGCCGAGGGCTTGGGGGCTAACTTTACAGACTGCTCGCGCACCCTCTTCCCCGCTGCTCGGGGCGCGCTCCGGAGCTTCCTCTGCACGCCCTCCCGCTCTGCCCCAGGCCCGGGAGAGGCCTCGGTCGCCAAGCTCTGCAGGATCAGCCAGCGGGGTGCTGCTCCTCCCCTGCGCAGCAACTCGAGGCTGCCAGGGGGTCGCCGGCAGGAGGGACGCCCTCTCCCGCCCCGTTGCTCCCCGGACGCGCTCTCTGGAGCGGTGGCCCAGGTAGAGGCCAGGCGCCCGCGGGCAGCGAGGGCTAGAGAGAAGTTGGCGCCTGTCCCGGGTTTGGTTCCCGTTCCGTGGAGCAATCGGCTCCCACAACTCGATCTGCGAGCGAGGGTGCCGGAACGCCCGGGAAGCGCGCCCGCAACTCGGTCGAGGCCGGAATGCTCCGCTACACTCAGGCACGTCTGGCCTCTCAATGCGCGCCAAGGGCCCCTGGCCCGGCGCGGCCCGCCGAGGCCTCCGTGCCAATAAGTGAGGCCCATGCCCCTCGGCTTTGGAACTTTGTCCTTACGGGCACGAGCTCCCAGGGGTGCTCCCGGGCCCGGCTGCCCGCGGCGAGGCTGGGAGGGGTGGGGGAAGATAATCTCTTGGGATCGCGTCGGCTGCTCCCACCCCGTGCCCGCCCCCGCCCAGGCGCACGCAGACCCCCGACTCCGGGGAGCTCTTACCGATCCGGATGACGTGGGGCATCCCGCGCGAGTCCGGGATCCAGAAGGCGCACACGAGGAGCCCGGCCCAGTATTCCCAAACCAGAGTCCGGAGGCGCCGCCAGGGAGCGGTCATCGTTGGGCGCCGCCGAGCGTGCCCGGGGCGCGGCCGTGGCGGGCTCCCTGGGGCGGGCAGCTCTAGGCGCCGGCGCGCAGCAGCCCCCGAGGCGCCGCCTGGCCCAGCTGCCCGGCTCCGGCTCGCGAGCGCCGCTGCGAGTGGGGGGCGCCCCGCGGCGCCGCGCACATCTTACTGGGGGGCCGCCCCGCCGGCGCCCGCCGCGCCCGGCTGCCGCCCACGGGCCGCCCGCGAGCGAGGCTCCTGGGGCTCCGCTCGGACTCGGCTCCGGCTCGCGTCGGCTCGGCTCCCGCGCGGGCTCCCACCTGCCCCGGCTGCCGGGCGCTGGCGGGCGGGCGGGCGGGCGAGCGGGCGGGCTGCACGCGTCTCCCGCCGCTCCTCCTCCAGCCGCCGCCGATGCTATCGCCCGGGCTCGCACAAAGCCCCGGAGTGGAGTTGCACGCGCACACTCGCGCCCAGCCCCCTCCCCGCGCCCTGCCTCCCGCCCGCCCGCGCTCCCTCCGCGCACTCCCCCGCGCACACGCGCTTCACACTCACGCCCGCCCGGGCGGACCCTCGCGCGCTCACACCTGCACGGGGGGCGCGGGGGGCGGGGAAGGGCAGCCGGGCCGGCCGGCCGGCCGAGCTCGGGGCGGGGGCACGCTCGGAGATCCCGGTCCCCGCTCGCTGCCCAGACGTCCCCCCACCGGTCCCTCCGGCTGCGGCGAGGGCGCGGAGCACGGGCGCTGGCTTGGCGCGGCGGCGGCTGCCTTAGCGGCCCGAGCGGCTGCGGGAGGCGCGCCCGCGGGAGCACGGACACCCCGGGCCCGCCGCGCGCGGGACCTCGCCTTGCAGCTCTCTGGCGCGTGGACGGGACGGCAACGGCGGGAGACCGAGCCGGGCGGCGGATTGTCCCCGCAACCCCATTGCTCGTGGAAGTTGAGTTGGGACCGGGGCTAAGGGACGACAGAACGCAGCGGCTGGTCCGCGCTGGGGCGAGGGGACGCCTCGGCAGCTGTCAGGGGTGGGAGAGCCCGGCCGGCGGGCCCCCCCGGACCGCGCGCTGCCACTGTTGCCGCTTTGGAGGAAAATGGCTAAATCCCGAGAGCGCGGCGACCAAGAGCTACTCCCCGTTTCTCCCCCGCCAAGCACGCAGGAGGCTCCCGCGGCCCCAGCCGTCCTCAGAAAGGATAAAGAGACGCTACGATTCTCCGCGGGACGAGTAGGGGCCCCGTGGGAGAGCCAGCTAGAAAGGGTTAAAAATAAGAGCGCCGTTGTTTATTAGCAATAATAAATTTTTTTTTCAAGTGGCGCTGGGCGTCGAGGGAAGGGAGCAGGAGGCAGCGAATGACGCAGTTAGGCGAGTTTAATGACCTTTTTGACAGAGACAAAGCGGTGCCGAAACAGTAGATAAATAAAGGGGTCTGTCACCGGGCAGCGGCTAGGCTGTGTGTGAATTTATTTTTCTCATTTAAATAATTTGATCTATTTCATCATTCCCAATCTCTTCCATTTGCCAGCTGCCTGGTAAGAGCTTGGCCCCCAACGTCTGAAAAACAAATCTTTAATTTTCTTACAAATAGACTATGAGTCGAACACTCGCTGGCCCGTGAATTTTCCAGTCCTCCTTCCCTCCCGGTGTCAGGGGCAACATGGGCGGCCTGGCAATCTGTGGGGACTGAAGCAGGCACCATGGCCCATCCTGGCCAGGAGGAGGACAGGAGGGAAGTGGCTGAGGGGAAGAGAGTCCAGGTGCCCCCTCCTGCTGCCCGGGTCACCTCGAGCCTGTCCTGAGAATCTCCGAGAAGAGTAGACAGAGCATGAGGGCACCCACGCTGCGTGTTGGCCACCCGTGGGCCCACCTCACCTCACAGCAGCCGAGCTGCTTGCTGGTTTCGGAAGCAGCCACTGGAAAATGCTGCCCAAGGGAAGGCAGCCTCCTGGTGGCCAGTGATACACCACTCCCCTCCTGGCCTCTGGAGGAAATCAGGAGGAGGGGCGGGGTCCCACACTGAACAGGACCCAGTTGGGGAGAGTCTCTTCATCTAATACTGGACGCCCCATCCCCATCATCAGACAGTTCCTACAGCTCCAGGGAAACCCCAAATTCTAGAAGCTTTCTCAGGAAGAAAATTCCTGTATCCTAATGGGGAGATGGAGAGAGGATGGGTGGCAAAACTTGAAGTTCAGGCAAAGCAGGCAGGACCCAAAGCATCCCTGGCAGCACCCTGGGAGTGTTGGGGACAATGGGGGAGCACTCTGGGTTTGCCAGAAGGTGGCCTCGGATCTGGGGAGGGGGAGGGGACACGTGGCAGGGCAGGGAAACTGAAAAAGCAGGAGGGGAAAGTTTGGGAAAGGGGCAGCATTGCACCCCAAGGGGAAAGTATGGGAAAGGCTAGAAAGGAAGGAATGAAGGTGGGAGGGAAGGTGGAGCACCAGGGTGTTTAAACGCTTGCAGGAGAAAGGTTCTGGAGAAGGGAGGGATGAAGGCAGAGTGGGCTCTCTCTGGAAGAGCATCCCCTCCCCTGCAGCCCCCAGACACCCTTGAAACAGCAAGAGCAGTGGGCTGTGCTGCAAGGGAGGGAGGGTAGGAGGGAGGGCAGGAGGAGGGCTGCAGAGAGGAAAGGAGAGGAGGGAGGGAGAGAGGCAGCACTGCAAAGTGGAAAGGAGGGAGAGAGGGAGAGAGGCATTTCTGCAGGGAGGGAAGAAAGGGATGGAGGGAGCGTAGGGGGGAGGAAGGAATGGTGAAAGGAAAGAAGGAAGATAGGGAGGAAGGAAGGAGGGAAGGATGAAGGGGAGGAGGAGGAAGGGACGATGGAAGGAAGGGAAGGAGGGAGGGAAGAAAGGAGGGGAGAAGGGAGGAAGGGATGGTGGGAGGGAGGGAAGAAGGTATTGGAGGGAGGAGAGGAGGAAGGAAGTGGTGGGGGGGAGAAGGAGGAAGGAGGGGGCCCTTTCTCAGTTGCTCCAGCTGCTGGATCAAGCTAAGCAGCCCCGCTGAAGATCTGGGCCCAGGACTACCTTGCTGGTTGTTGTTGTTGTTGGAATGTGTCCGTCCCATCATCCCTGGATTGGGAGAGCAGGCTGTTGCCAGTTTGGGGAGACCTTTTCTTTCTTTTTTTAATATTTATTAGTGAAACACCATGAGGTACAGTTGTAGACTTACAAGTTTTTGTGCTTGGGTTTCAGTTATACAATGATCGAGTACCCACCCCTCCACCAGTGCCCATTCTCCACCACCAATGATCCCAGTATCCCTCCCATCCCCCCATCTCCCCCCATCCCTCCCTGCCTATGTGGCAGGGCATTCCATTTTGTTCTCTCTCTCCTTTTGGTTGCTGAGGTTTGCAAAAGAAGCATTGAGTAGCAATCATGTTCGGTCTATAGTCTACTTTCAGCATGCATCTCCCATCCTGGGAGGATCCTCCCAACACCCTTTACTTGGTGTTTGGGGAGACCTTTTCTGTTATGGAATGGCTTGCAATTGAGTTCAGAAAAAGGTCCACGCTGGAGTATATCTCTGACCCTCAGTCCCGGCGGCTGGCAGGCATCACGCAGCCAGTCTTCAGAGAACCCTCTCACTGCCTCTGAGGGGTGAGCTGCATGATTTTTCCATTTTACAGGTGAAAATGGAGCAGTCCAAGTCATATCCCTTTCTCTTTTCTCCTTCCCTCTCTCCTGGTGGCCAGGATCTGTGGGTGACCGGCTAGGTGTGCCTGCAGGCCTCTGTGACTCTGGGGGCTCAGGGCTGACCAGAGTCCGATCCTGTGGGCCAGCACAAGGGGCAGGAACTTGCAGACCCGCCTCACCTCTGCTAGAGGCCAGGGCAGGTGACTCTTGTACAAAGATGGGCCAGGAAAACAGGGATTGGGTCCTTGACTAGAAGACTTTGGGGAGCTGACACCCCAACTCATCAGGAGGAACCTGTGGCCTGCCCTGCCACCCGCCAGTACCCAGGCTGGCAGCCTCTCAGGCGGCATCTCCGGGGATCTGGGCCTTGGAGTCTGGCTTTGGGGATTGTTGGTAAACAAGTGTATGCAACCGCCAGGCCTGGCTCCCCTGCGAGGCCGCCAGCTCCGGATTTATGAGGCCTCCAAACCTCATTCAGACTAATGCAGCTTTTCATTCCGAAATAAAAGGGGCCCTGTCTGAAAGGACAAGTGCTCCTGCATTTCATTAGCGTCCCCCTAAAACGGCTGAGCTGGCCCAAGTCACTGCCAGGGAGATTCATGGCTCCCACCGGCTCACAGGTGGGGTGGGAGGAGGAGAAACCCATGGTGGCCTCCCCACCCCCACCGCCCGCCCCTCCCGGGGCCCCTCCCCGGCTGGCTCAGGGGGTGCCCAGTGGAGGCCAAACGGGCTTCTTTGGATGAGTCCCCAGTGTGTGTATTTTGTTTAGACTCATCCACTCCGGGCTCTCAGTGCCCCCCAATCACGCTGAGTGATGAGACCCAGGGCTCGAGTTACGGAGATTCATGATCTCCGCTTCCCGGGAGCGGGGGCGCAGGCGGCTGCCGAGTGCAGATTCCTAGGGCTTGACTGCCCTCTGCCGAGGCCTGCCTACCTTCTCCCTCAGGCTGCTGCGGGCAGGGCACTGCCACGGGGCCCCAGCTGCTCCCCTGTCCTCTCCCGCAGGCCTGGAGGAGCATCTGTACTGGTGGTGAGAAGAGGCGAGAGAGCAACTTGCCCCCACCCACCCCGGAGGGGGTCCGGGAGGAGGCTGCGGCAGCGGCAGTGGCCACTCTCAGTTCTGGCTTGGTCTTTGCCAACTGCCCTGGCATGAGAGTTCTTCCTTCAGGACTAAACCTGTGCCAACACCACCACCCCCTCCACTCTGGAGGCAAGCCTCGGCCCTTCCCTTCACAGGATCCTGTGAGCTGCCTCAGACCCAGGGGGCCTTTGTCCCTCATTCCTAGCCCGAGGAGAGAGGCTGGGTGATGGCTGGGGGTGGCTGGGCTGGCTACTGGCGCCCGGCAGCCAGCCCAGTAGAGGCTGCATCGCCTTAGATTTTTGTCAACAGTCAAGCAAGTTCATTCCCAGTGAAGTCAATTCCTGTGTTTATTGTCAGCTTAACCCGCTGCTGCGAGTTATTTCTCAGCAGTGAGGGAGACAGGTAGACAAGTCACCAGAGATATGTTATTTCACTGACATCTGCGTTTCAGTAACTCCAGTGCAGCGCTGGTAGTGGAGGAATAAATGACACCCAGCATCACTCCTTGGATGGCGCACAATGGGGCGGCATCCATGGGGTCCTGCTGCCCAGGGGGCAGAGAGGGGATGAATGTCAGTCCTCTCCCAGGGGCCAGCA